CCCTCCACCAGCCCGCCCCCGCGGCACAGCTCAGCTGTGCTCCGGCAGAAGGACTCTCGGGCGCCCCTGGTGCCGGGATCCTCGCCCTGTGCCCTGGGGACCCTGACACCGACCTCCCCGACCCCCACCGGGCCAGCCTCAGCTTCTTAGTTGACCGCGTCCCCCTGCGTCTAGGGGAAGGAGACAGCCCTTGTGTCCCCACCATGGTCTTTTTTGGAGACAGTCACACCAGGAGCAGTTACTGAGCCATCTTGTTTATTTTGCAAACCTGAAGAAAAAGGGAAGCCAGGAGATGAGGATCTGACTGTGAGATTAACAGAACCTGTTTTCAAACTTGTTTTCTTCAGGTGCAGGGTGGGGAACAGAGCTCCTGAATCTGTTTACACACAGGGAAACTGGTAGGGATTGATGGGCGTGTCCTGCGCACTTCTAACTGGGCAGCCCCGCCCACTGTGCTGTCCTGGGGGTCCAAATGATATGAGCTCTCTCCTGGCTTCGAAAAGATCCCAGCTCAGTAGAAGCTCGATTCTAGCTGAATTTGTATGCTTTCCCAGGCTGGTGGTGAAGATAGTCTGGATCTGCAGCACATCCTTCCACAGGTGGGCGCATCCCTCGATCACATGAAGTGCCCAGCACCTCGTAATGGAACAAGCTTTATGTTCCACGATTCTGCCCAGCAGGCTAACACAGGGTTCTGAGCCTGTGTAAGGGAAACTAGGCTGAGCTGAGGAGTTCAGTGGGTTCTGTGTACTGAGTGCATTCTTTTGTTTTGTTTTGTTTTTTGAGACAAGGTCTCACTAAGTAGTTCAGGCTGGCCTCAAACTCCTGGGAATACTCCTGCCTCAGCTTCCCGAGTGCTGGGATTACAGACATGGGCCGCCAGGCCTGGCTCAATGCATTCTTGACTTGTAATACTTCACCTTGTGAGAGGTGTGTTGGGATGTGGCCCCATTAGAAGAGAAGAGTAACTGTACTTCCAGGTAAAGCAGGCCTTTCTAGACATCCTTCCGGGTGTGACCTTCTCCTGTGCTTTGAGACAGGGGTCTCAGAAATGACTCTGGGGTCAGTGTTGGGACTGTCCCTGGCTTCAGGGTAAAGCTGTCTTCCTTCTGTCCTGCCCACCAGAAGTGGCTGAGAATGCTATGTGCCTTGCTTTCTTGGCCACCTGGACGCCTATTAGACCTTAGCCCCAGAGCTGGCTTCTGTGTGAAGTCCACAGTGACCTTCCATCATGGGCCACACTGGAGAACCGAGGAGCTGGGTGGTGTCAGCTGGCCCTAATGTGTGGTCCTACCCTGCCATAGATCCCCTGTGTGACCTAAGCAGGTGGTTTGCCCTCAGTGAGCCTTAGTGTTTCCATCTGCAGAAGAAGTATGTGTCTGCTTTCCCTGGTCTTCATAGTTAGAGGTAAGTAAAGGCCTGTGGCAGGGACCTTCACGTGACCCTGGGATTGTGATTCATCCCAAACCTGATGCTCGTCTTGTGGTCCATCCTCGGCTACCTGTCCATCCGGCTCCAGCCAGCTGTCTCCCCTGTAGATGTGAGCAGGGCCGGTGCTGGTGGCAAAATCTGTAGGTGACTGTCTCCAGCTTATTCAGGCACAGTCTGCATACAGCTGTGAAGGGACACCGCCCTGGAACTGAGGTCCAAACCCACTGACAGTAAGACAGGGTTATTTTGGGCTCAGTGTAATCACATGGGACCTTAAAAGGAGACGAGAAAGGGAGAGGAGTCAAAGAGATGGTGCAGGAAGTGATGTCAGAGAAAGAGGAGGGCTAAGGCAGATCCCCAAGTCACAAGGTCTGTTCCTACCACAGCTGGCTTTGCAGAAGGCACAAGCTAAGGCAAGCAGGTTGCCCCGGGGAGCTGGGAACAGCCGCATCGGCAACTGCAAGGGCATTGGGACCACGGTCTTGTAACTGGGTGGAACTTCGAGAGCCCTACCAGCAACCTTAATGAGCTTGGAAGTGATACACCCCCAACGCCTGAGTGTCCCGGGTGCTGGACTGTGCATTGTTCCAGGCCTTTGTTCTGGATCGACTGAATGGAGACAGCCACTGAACATAGCAGTTTTATGTAGTAAAGATAAAAGAAGGAAAGAAGAAGTGAAAAGAAGTAGAAGTGAAAAGAAGAAGAGAGAGAATATACTCTGCATGCAAGAAGATAGTGACCACAAGGACCCAGGTTGCTGTCTTCTATAATTTTTTTTTCTTTTCTTTACTTTTTTGGTAGGTACCAGGGATCAAATTTGGGACCTTGTGCTTGAGAGGCAGATGGCGGCACCACTGAGCTAAATCCCAGGCCCTATAGCCTTCTTTTGATGTCAGAAGAAACCTGATTTGACAGCTTTCCCTGATTGGCAGATCACAGCCTATTGGCCAGCCTCCTTGCCATGCCCTAATCTCCTGCCTGTGAATAAGCCATGCACTCTGGCTGGCCTTTTGACTTTGCTCTGTGAGGCTTGGAGCAGAGTAACCAGGCAAGTCCACAGGGACTTTGGATCCCCTAAATTGCTGTGGGGTAGATGTGTGTTGTTCTAAGCCTCTAAATCTGTGGTAATGGTTATGCAGCAGCAGGAGACCTGTGCTCAAGGTAAGGGCCTGGCTGGCAGTGGCTCTGGAGACAGAGATCTGGACTGGTCCAAGGTCATGGTTCCCCGGAAGCCAAGAGGCTGAGCACAGGACTTGCCTCCAGGTGCAGGGATGTGTCAAGCCCTGCTCCAAATGCCTGCATTTGTTAATCTTCACTGTCAGCATTGTGTGGGTGAGGTATTGCATAAGGCCAGAGTCACAACTGATTGGAGGTGGGATTCAAACCCTTGACCAAAAAGCCGGGTGTGGTGGCGCACACCTGTAATCCCAGCACTTGGGAGGCTGAGGCAGGAGGATCGCTGTGAGTTCAAGACCAGCCTGGACTACATAGTGAGTTCTAGGTCAATCTCAACTACATAGTGAAACCCTGTCTCAAAAAACAAAACAAAACAAAACAAAAAACAAAAACACTTGACCAACTGAATCCAGAATTCTGCTCCAGAAGTTGTCAGTTTTCCCTAAGGTAGCAGAGGACTGAAAGTGAGCTCTGAGGCCTGAGACCTTTCTACCCTTCCAGGCCTGGATCCCTGGAGCTCTAGGAGGGGCCGGCACCCAGCCAGCCATGCTTGGATTCTGTAGCTGCCTACTGCCTGCCTGCAGGACTCCTCCTGCCAACTGATTTTCCAGTGTCTACATCCATTTATTCTTCTTCCTTGGACAAGTCTCATGTTCCCTGATCTTTTTCCCCCAATTCTACCCCCTCTCTCAACTGTTAGCCATGGATTTCTGTATTTTTTTTTTAAAAACAGGGCTTCATTATGTAGTTCAGGCTGGCCTTGAAGTCATGGCAATCCTCCTGCCTCAGCCTCCTGAGCGCTGAGACCACAAGCACGTGCCATCACTCTTGGTGGATTTCTCGGTCTTTCAGGTCACTTCACAGCAGACAGCTGGGCCTGTGACCAGCTGTTTCTTTTCTTTTCTTTTTGGTACTGGGGTTGAACTCAGGATTTTGCAATTGCAAGTCTGTTTATGATTGATCAGGTTTTTTTTTTGGTACTGGGGATCGAATTTGGGACCTTGCACTTGTGAGGCAGACGGTGGCACCACTGAGCTAAATCCCCAGCCCTGATTGATCAAGTTTTTAAAATATTTATTTTTGTGGTTCTGGGAAATGAACCATAGCCCTGGCTCTCTATTTATTTATTGATTTTTGAGACAGGGTCTCTCTATGTAGCTCAGGCTGGCCTTGAATTCGTAGTGATCCTCCTGCCTCATTGTCCTCAATATTGGGAGGACAGGTGTGTGCACCATGTCCTGCTGGCATTAATTTTTGATTTTTTAAAAAGCAATGCGTTAAAGTCTAATTTATTTTGAGTGTTTTGGTCCTCCCTCTAAACTGACTTTGAGCAGTGTGCCTCCTTCCTCTTACCTACCCAATCTTGGCTCTGCAATGAGCACCAGCTTCTGAGTCTTCTGCCAGTCACACAGCCCTGTGCAACTTGTGCCTAAGCTGGCCTCATATTGTGTCTGGGGAGGAGGAGTTCACAGAAGGGAGTCCAGAGGAGTCCAGAGGCTCAGAACACGAGCACCTCTGCTTTCCTCTCCAGGGCCTCCTGAAATCTTGTTCTTCCCAAGTCCTCGCTGCCCACCCTCTTGTCTGGCACCTAAGATCCTCTATGATATATCCCTGTTCAGCTTGTAATGCCCAGCACCATTGCTCTCCTGCAGCCAGCAGCCCTACTTCCTGCTCTGGACACAGCTGTGCTTCCAGAACTCCTCCTTCCTCTCCACCTCCTCAGCCACACCCTCCTCACCCCATTCCAAGTTCTACCCCAGTTCACACCATTTCCTGAATTCCTGAATTAATAATGGGCACTAGGCAGTCTTCAGTGCTGGCCATGTTGGGCAGTTTCCTGCAGAGCTGGCCAGGTTTTAGAAATTTGTACTCTGTGGTGTCTAGGTGAGTGGCCAGTGCCCAGAAGTCTTGGAGATCAACCCGGGTTCCTCCAGCTTGCCCGTGAGAAATGGAGGAGAAACCTGTGCACTGGTGCCCAGGTGCACCTGAGCCGCAGAATCACTGTGTCTCTGCCCTCCTGAG